CACACACACACACACACACACACACACACACACACACACACAAGTTCAGAACAACAAGCCTCAACTTCATCTAGAGCTAAAAACCTGATCCTGAAGCTCCAACATTTAGAGACCCTCACTCTGATTAACCCTTTCCTTAACCTTTGACCCCCTCGCGGCGCCTACCTCCAGGTTCTCCAGTCTCTGTTTGAGGGTCTGTAAAGTCTGCCCCAGCTGGGCCAGCGTGTCCGCGGTGCCCCGGGAAACATCCCCCATGGTGTTCTTAGCCCCCGGCCGCCTCCCGCCGGGACCCCCCACCCCCACCGGGAGACTCTGGCTCTCGCAGCGGCTCAGCTTGGACGACAGCTCCTTGATGGTCTCCTTCTGGTTCACGATGGTCTCCTTCTGTTGCAACACGGTTTCCCGCAGCTGCATGATGGTGGTCTTCAGGTCCTCCGCCGGCCCGCTGTTCTGCATCGAAGCAGTGCACAGGTCCACGTCTTTGGGGACCGACGTGCAGATAAACTGCGTCTGTCCGAAGTCGTGCGCCGAGCTGCGCGCGGCGGCCAGCAGGCAGGAGAGGAGGAAAAGTTTCCGCGAGGAGCTGTCCATGGTCCTGATTACGAGTCGCAGCTGAGTGTGTGTGAGAGCGCGCTCCTTCAGCACCACGGAGCTGTCCTCTGAAGCTGTGCAGAGCTGCTGCGCTGCGCCTTTATATAGCGGAGAAAACAGCGCAGATTCACCGCATCACTGAGGGAGGGGGGAGGGGAGGAGGGGGGCGCTCCTGCTACAACTACAGCCGCCTTTTTAAGGTCGTACTCAGAGTTCTCTGAGCCTCTTCTGCTCATCCAGAGAGCTCAAAACCCTGAAAAATATTCATATTCACTGTTTTCTATCATAAAATGTTTAGTTTTCACCATTTATTGAGCTATAAAAGGCAATAAAACATAAAATATTGATGCAAAAAGCTAGAGAAGCTTTGATAATTAAACCAAATTAAATAAATATATGAGGAAAAAAGAGTTTTAAGGCAGCTAACCAATAATCTGTTACTCAAATTATAATCTTAAAGTGCCTGTGACATGCATATCCATGAAATACAAAAAGTCAAAGAAAATATATTCATATTTATGAAACTTGGCATAATAAAAGTGATTTTACCCATTATGTCACATAATTGGCCGAATTTCTTTTGAATTTGGCTCAGCAAAAGTGAAACAGGACGTGACATCAAAGGGGAATTGTTTGAGAATTAAAACTCCCTGGTTTTGTTTATTAAAACAATATTATTTGAACTATGATTCTTTCTCATCTCTCTATAACAGTGATTAAAATAATTTGAAGAAACATCAGATTCTTCTCTGCAGTCTGTGTTGTTGGCCATAGTAACAATGTTCTGTTCGCATGCAGACATTCCCCTTTGACATCACTTCCTGATACTGAACATGCAAATATCTCAGCAACTGTTCATCTCAGCTGTATGAAATCTTTTTTGCAGTATGTTATCAGTGTTGTATTTCCAAAAATACATTCATATTTATTACAACATATTGATGTCACAGGCACTTTAAAGTGGCATAAACAGGCTGTGAGTTACATTTTTAACGTTTTATTTCATAATTAAACCTTTATGGTGGAAAAATACAGTTTAAATAGTTTAAGCTGACCACATTTTGGAATAAAATAAAAATAAAGTTTTTTAACTATAAAAAATAACAAATTCTGCTTAAATTTTTTTTTACATTTTACGTGGAGATGTTATCCCACCTGCTGCTTGTTTTGCTGTTTTTAATTGTATTTGTTTGTGCAGTCTTCATGCTCAAACTCATCAGTCCACCTTAAATGAGCCCCTCCAGGCCTCAGGTCCATTTGTCCCACAGGCATGGTCCCAGACCCCCATCTCACCTGAACACAACAAGTGTCTGCTGCGCCTCTCAGAGGGTCTTACGGTAAATCAGGTTCCTGCAGGAGTGTGCGGTTTTGGTTTTTTCAGTCATGTTAAATCTCACCACTACAGGAGTCGAGGTGCTAAAAGGAAAGGCAAATGTTTCCAAAGAATTAAACAGACTCTTATGTAACTCCCCCCGCAGCTCTGGTGTTAATAAATAAGACACAGAGAGAGGGTGAGCGCGGGAATGTGTCCTGATGGAGTCTGAGATAAGGCTGCTTAAAGCACAATGAAAATAGATTTTAAAGCAAAAGTCTTTATTTATTCTAATCAAAAACTCAACAAACTCTGGAAAGTTTGACACGAAAAGTGATTCATAATATAATCTAATATTTTTAGAGGACGATAAATAACTTAGCTACATATTGTAAAATTGTATGTAACCATTTTTAGTTAAAACAGGAAAAAATATAAAATTTATTTTTATGGATGATCAAATGTTCTAGAAAATTTAAATAATGACTTATAATGAATTATAATCTTCATATCTCATTAATAAATTTTATTCTAACATGTTGAACACAAAATGTTAATAAATTGGGACAATTTCAGCTGTATTTTCAGAGAATTTTGTGATTAATTATGTTAATTGTAAGATGTCAGTAAGACGACTGGGTATAAAAGTGTTTTAAATTAGTCAGAAGATGGACAGAGATTCACAGTCTGCATCTAAAATTAATGAAACAATTTCAAAATAAAGTTCCTGATGGAAAACTGGAATAAACAGATTATTGTAATCTGTAGAAATCTCTGAGTTTAAAGGATGAAAATCAACATTTGTTGGTCATGGCTTTCGGGCCCTCAGGGGCCACTGCACTAAAAACAGGTCTGGTTCTGTTCTGGACAATACTGTGTGGACCAAAGAACTGTTCAGATTTTAAATTCAACTCACCATTCCAAAGTCTGCTTCTCTGGTGGTATAGGGGTGCATTAATATCTCTGGCATGGGCAGCTCACACAACTAAAGTCTTCATCAGTGCAGAGAAGCATCTCAATTCTTATTTTACACTTTCAGTATGTTTTCTATGATCCACTGTGAATAAAATATGAGTTTCGGAGATTTGCAAACATCAGCATTCTGTTTTTATTTACTGTTTTCACAATGTATCCATTAAGATAGAGTAGTGATGTAAAACAGACACCTGTGGCAGTTCTACATTTCTAGGACACATTTTATATCATGATATTTCCCTGTGAGATGAATTAGTCTTGTGTTTAAAGATGCAGTCCTTCATGGTTCTGCTCTCTGTTTTGTTGCAGGGGAACAGAAAAGTCACAGGCTTCCTGCTCCTCTTCTTCCCTGACGCGTCAGAGCGCTGCGTAAAATCAAGAGTCAGTGTTCAGGCTTGTACGTGTGGGAGGAAAATTGACCCGGCAGTTTGCTGTAATTTGTTTAATTATCGATCCAAGGCGCTGTAATCAACAAGGTGCCACCCTGGAGGCGACAAACGGGAACAAATGTTTAATGGCAGGCTCTAATTGGTRAGTCTGAGGACAGGCGTGGAGCAGATTCTCCTCATCCTCTCCTCATCTCAGCACGAGCACATTAAAGATGGAGCGGTTATTAGCCCTCACAGGATCGAGGAGGAAATCTGTCATGTTGGGCCGTTTTTAAAGCTTTTGTTGAGCAGAACCGAGGTGGTGCCTCCCACGGAGCGGCACCTCACACACAGGAGGAGAGGAGAGGAGTCACATACATCTGTTCAATATTCAGCTCTTGTTCTGGGCAGTAAAAAAAAGGAGGCAGCAGCACCATATGTCCAACATGTTTGCTCTCATTCTCACCACATTTCTGCCAGAAAACATCCTGCAATAACTGGACCTCAGTCAGAAGCTTTAAATAAACAGGAGTGGGTTTTCTCCATGTGCTCCTCCCACTAACCAAAAACCTGCATGTTAGGTTAATAAATAACTCTAAACTGTCCTTATAGTGTGGGTGAGAGTGTATGGTAACAACTAATATCTTACCTGTTGCAGATAGATCTGACATTGAGCATTCAGACAGAAACACCCAAAGTCCAGGTGAGATTTACCAGATTTTGCAGCAGCTGGCGGTCCAAGCCGGACTCCTCCAGGGGCTCAGATCCATAATGATCAGTCTGTGAAGCTCAATGAATAATGCAGAGCTTTATAATAGAAGCCGCTCTCTAATGGCAGAGATAGATAAGGACTCTTTGGCTCCAAATGGTTTTTTTTTTTTTGTTTGTTTGTTTATCTGGATGGTGTGAGCACGCCGCAGGGAGAAGATGCAGGTTTTACTGTAAAACTGATGATCCTGCAGAAGCAGAACGAGGCCAGGACTCTGTCGGATCTGGTTCTTAAGCTGCTTTGCCACTTTTGTTTGGACAGGAGGCCGGTTTTCAGCCTCTGAATGAAGTTTCCTGCTCTGTGCACACTTCACCTCTGACCTCTAAGGATGGAGACAGAAAACTGAAGCTTCATCAGCTCTGCTCAGACAGGGACATGACGAAGGGGAGTCGGGGGGGGTGTCGTCTGACTGGACTCCTGTGCTGCTCTGCATGTGTTTCCACCAGAGATCGCACGAGAACGTAAGACGGATGGAGCTGTTCAGTCTCATCAGTTTCATGCAGAAACACAAACTGGAAAAATAGAAATGCATAAAAGCTTTCCATAAACGGTTAGTTTTAGACCAAGTTTATATCGTGTCGWGGATAAGATTATAAATATTTAAGCTCTGTCGTTAATTATCCTTATTCACAACAGTTTTTATGTTGTTCTAGGTCAGGGGTCTGCAACCTGATGCTCTGGGGCCACATGTGGCTCTTTGGTCCCTCAGCAGTGGTTCTTTGAAAATGTGACCAAACATAACAGAATATTTTTTGTTTGTGTTTTTTATACCCACAACAGAAATCAATTTGTATGCAAATATGTGATCAGTACTAATACAAAATGTGAAACATGCTAGCCTGTTATGTACTTAAGTGATCCAACTTCTTTCTATGTATGATCTTTCTCTCAAATCCAGCAGATTTACCTTTAAATAATTTGAAGACTCTATAATAAGAATTAGATAAAAATATACAGTATACCTGAAGAGTCCAGTTGTACTAGTTTTATGCAATTCATTATAAACTATATATGGTATTGTTCTTGTTTACATGAATATAGTCTTGTCATTTGTCCTGATGTGTAAAAATAAAAGTAAATAATAAAATTCACAGTATTATTTTTTAGTTTTATAATGTCACATCCACTAGCCGTAAAGATTACCGAAAAGTCCTCGAAAAGGCCCACGGACCACCAATTGATAATCACAGTTGTAGCTTGTTTTGTGGCTCTGAACACATTTTATTAGTGAGCCAAGGAGCAAAAATGGCTCTTTTGATCATAAAGTTTGCAGACCCCTGTTCTAGGTGTTTAACATCACCATAATGTTAGTAAACCCCTTATAATAAACCTAAAATAACTTAGTTTCTATGAAATATTTGTCATTTTATCTGATAAAATGCAAAATAAGCCTTTTGTGATGATAAAAGTCAGACAGTTTGTGGTATTTCTGAGCTTTTCATTAAAAACTTTGCTACATTTTTAAAGTAATTCCAGTTTTCATTAAAAGTTCAAATGATAAAAGCTCTGACTGTACAATCAACTGGAAGGCCAGTGTTTGAGAAAAATTCAGTCAGAGAAGCAATCAACTTTCAGTGGAATTAAATGTTATTTAAGGAGCTTTTCATGTGATTAACAAAAAGGAGAAAATGTTAATTTGTTCGATGAATT